GGGTGTTGCTGGGAAGGTGGTTTATGTTTTTAAGTTTCCATAAAAAGTCTGTAGTGTCTTGTACAAAACTTGCTCTGTGGGTGATGAGCGGTTTTAGGATTGATTCAATAAAACCTGATATTTCCTCAGTTAGGGTCCCATGGTTGGATATGATAGGTCTGCCAGGGTTCCCTTGTTTGTGGATTTTAGGAAGCATGTAAAAAGTCCACAGGTTAGGTAGTGTGGGGATCAAGGTCTGCAGTTTTTCTTGTAGTCTTGCTGGAAATGATTTGATGGTATTGTTGTGTGTCTTGGTGAAAAGGGGAGTAGGATCTTCTTGCAGTTATTTGTAGTAGATGGTGTCAGAGAGCTGTCTGTTGGCTTCCTTTATGTAGTCTTCACGGTTTAGGATGAGTATGACTTCTCCTTTATCTGCTGGTTTTATTACTATTTGGTGGTTAGATCTTAGAGATTCTGTGGCCTTTTTCTCAGGTAGAGAGAGGTTGTTATTGTAGCATGTGTTGCTGATTATTTAATTGTTCATTCTTTTCCTGAAGGAGTCAGTGTAGCAGTTGAGTTTAGGGTTTTGTCGACTGTGAGGTGTTCAATCTGATTTTTTGGGGGTTTTTGGCATTGATCTTTTCCTGAATGTTGTCAGAGGATGAGTTGTTGTCGGGAGTGGGTTCAGTTTGGTCGTAGAAATATTCCTTGAGGCAGAGGCGTCGGAAGCATTCTTCTAGTTCTCCACATTGAAGTATTTTATTAGGGTATTTTTCTGGACAGAAATTTAGGCCTATAGAAAAGACAGATTTTTCAGTTTTGGTAAGCATGTGTGTGGAGAGATTGATAATATCTGTGGGTTGGTTGCTGCTTTCAGTTTTATCAAGTCTGAGGTTGGACACCCCTGCCACAAAATCAAGGGGCCAGACCCCTGCCTCCCCACCTGGCTTGTTCTCATGTAAAAAACAAAACAAAACAGACTGGTGCTGGCCTGGTAAGCACGCAAAAATTTTGTGCTAAAACATGCAAGGCTTTGAATGGGAAGGTTTGAGGCCAAAAAAAACTGCTTGAGTGCCCCATGCAACTTGCATCCAGTGAAAGCGAAGGGCATCAGGCTAGGGCAGGGGGTGATGCCCTTTGGGACCCCAAAGCCCGGGGAAAGGCAATGCTTTGAGCACACTTGGGGGTAGCCTGAAGGGTACCCCGCACCCAGTGCCCTGTAGAAACAGCACGTCGCCTGAAGGGTGCCCCCCTCCTCTTTCACCTAGCCTTGGGGGAGATGCTTGTGTACACTTAGGGAGCCCTGCAGAGCTTTGTACAGAAAGGTTTGACACCAAAAAAAAAGTGCCCGAGTGCCCTGTGCTTGGGGGTTAGCTTTGCATGGAAAGATTTCACGCCTCAGCCCCCTGAGTGTCCTATGCAACTTGCACCCAGGAATAGAGAGTGGCAGAAGTGCTGCGGCTGGGCATTTCTTGTCCTAAAGCGCCACCTGGCAGCAAGGTAGGACTGAAAGGGCATGAGGGTAAAATTGTCCTGACATGCCCCCTAGTGCTTTTTACTAGTCATAGCATAATAAGCCCTTACATGGTAAATCACGTCCACGTTACTTATTTAGCCGTCTTAAACTAAGAAAGAAAAATTAAACCAGGAACATTTTTAGCAACTAAATGCCAAGTACGTGTACAAGGGCCCTGGGATTTGCAGTCCAGAATTACAGCAACAGGACTCTGCAAGGTTGTTCATCACCTCATTTTCCTGCTTCCAGGTACCTCTGGGATTTGTAGTCCACAGATGCAGCCAGCAGTGAGTTTGAACTGGGGAAGGGATATTTAATTAGCCGGGGTTTGCCTGGCAGGGGGGCAGTCCCCCCATAGACTGGGCTGTGTTCCCACCCCCTTGTCAGCCAGCCCTCACTGCTCTAGCTCTAGCAGAGGGGTGAGGCCAGCCCTGCTTCTGGAGCAGACAACCCAGCCCAAACCAGGGCTTTAAAGCATTCTGGGATGCTGACTTTGATTTAACTTGAACCAGGAAGGACAGAAGTTTTGTAAACCAGTTTGACCCAGATCAGTTAAGTCTGATACTACATTCAACCAGGTATATCTTAAACCAGTTTCAGCCATTTTGAAACTGGTTTATGTGCACTGAGCTTCTGTTTTGTTGCAGTTTTAAACCAGTTTCTGATCACTTAAACCAGTTTCTGTGCAACTTCTGTCCCTAGCCTCAGAGACTGATGTGGTATGAAACAGATATGGAGATTGATGCCGTAGCACATCTTCAATTGCAGACTGAAAAGTTACTGCTTTACTTGACAAAACAACATTAAATCAAAATTATTTGTCCAGTTTACTTTTCCTGTGTCTTGTTTAGCAAATCTAAATTCTTGATGGCTCTTTTCATCATGAACTACAGAAAAAAATGCTTGTGAGATTTAGTGTTGGTAATCATCTTTGACCACAAAGGGTAATAGTTGCTCTTTTTACTTGCTAAAGTAAACCGCTGTCAACTTCGAGTCAGCAAATGCCAATGATAATTTTTGCTACAAATTCAAGTGTAAAAGATCTTTTGGAATAAGCTGAGCAAAAAATTGGTCCATCCAAATGGTCAAATGTGCATGACAATGACTGTCAGCAAATTCAGATGTAGATGTTAATGAGGTGTATACGTGTGCTGTGTTTTACCACTTCCAAGTACATGTATACATTTGTTGTCAGTACAAAATTGCATCGAAAAATGTGTTGCATGGGCTGCCTGCTAGATTGAAAAGATTCATATGTCCTTCCTGGAACTTGGAGTGGAAAGTGACATGCTTCTCCGAAATTATTTATATAGATGATGTTATTTGGACTTACATATAGCCTACAAATCAGGTTTGGGTTCTCTACAGGAGCAGGGGCCAGTGTCAAGAAGAAAAACCTGTTTAAATGAGTGCTGTCAGTTCTTTTATCCTCTCCTCAGTACTTAATCAGTATACTGTAGTTTCAAACGCTAGTCATACCTGCAAAAATGTGTGCTGTGTAAATCAACCTGTTGGTGTAAATTGTGTAAGTAATAGATGCATTGTATAAATAAGTGCCTATTCATGTATTTAAGTACTTCTTTAAACATGCAAGCATGTCTAAAATTGGTTGCATGTTTTCTCAGTAAAAGTTCTAAATATTTGCCACCCCACTCTGTATTTTTCCAATGTAAGAGAATGACTATGTATCTATTATGCACATTAATTGCACTTGGGTTCAAAGTGGCATTAATCTCTAATGTGCATGCTTCTCTGAATGGTGATTTTTGGGATCATACTTCCCATTTCAGTTGTTCAAACACCATTTACATTTTTGAAAATTCATCCAAAAATAGAAATATGGGCTATAGAATATACTTTCTAAGCAGTTTAAAGTCGTACTACTTCTGTTTGACTGCATTATTTAAGCTGCATTAGCAGATGATAATGAAACTTCTGTAATATTTCTCAAAACCGGATGTGCTAAGCTAAATGAAGTAATATTATGTAGGTTTGTTTTTAATAGTTTGTAGATGGAAAGCACAGTTGAGATCACACTCTCAAAATACCAGTTGATTGCTATTTGGTACCTGTTTGTTTGTTCCCGGATTGGTTAGAACTGTTGCTGGGCTGATACCATTTTAACCAAAATTAGGAAGTCTATATAAATGAGTCAAACTAGACTGCCTGCTTTTTTTCAGTTCTCTCTTCTGATTCATCAGCTGTTTGTTGCAGACTCTCACTGCCTTTGTGAATTGGGGATTGTGGCTGCTTAGGTGAAAAGCTATTGGTGATTACTTACACAGGGAAAATATTCGCAAAGGTCTTGTGCTGATGACCTTCAGATGTTTTCAGAATTATCACTTTTAGGAAAAGTTGAAGGAGAGACACTGTAGTTAACCCAAATAGGTGAGGGGAGAGACTATTTCTATTCTATTCTCTTGGTCAGCTATAGGATATATACCTTTCAGGATTATAGTAACTAGATATCACTGCTGCATTTCAGGAAAACAACATAGACTGTTTACCAAAACCATGGGTTAGTGCAATAATTTAAGAGTTAGAGGTGAAATGTTTATGTTGCATTCAAAGGAATATTACTTCTTTCTCTGTCTGTTGAAATTAAACCTATACTCAGACTTTTCCTTTTGAAAACTAGCTAGGTTTTGATGGCAAAAGGAATATTTTTTCCAGAAATGTCACATTTGGACAGCTTTAAGCTTTTATTATTCTTTATTTTTTCCCTCCCATACTGGTGAATTAAAATCAGGATGGTAGTAGAAGGTAGTTTTGGGATTTCTGTTGAGTCAAAGTTTGCTGCACCACAAAGATTCTGCGGTGGCTGAAATGAAGATAACAAGAGAGATGTAATCATGTGGGGAATTCTCCAACATGGCAGACTTTTTGATTGCATTCCCACCTCCCCCTCCATTTGTTGAGAACAGTAACGTAAAGAGGAAGTATACCTTTAATGACAACATCTAAACAGACTCCTTGTTTGTGATTCAGTGGAAATTTGGTGAGAATACTACTCTAAACTCTTTGACCCTTGAGGGCGCAAGCAATGGTGTTAGGTTACAACTAAGCCTTATTGGCTCTCATGGATTATATTTGCTTATTTAGAAGACCAATAAACTCTAGTTTATATGGCTAGAATAGCCCTCTAAATTGTTGTCCCATGAGCCTTTATAAAAATAAATTTGCTCAACTTGGTGTATATCCCATGATTAATGGCCTCTGTGATACAACAATTCTGTGCCTTAGTCAGATGTTTTTAATTTCCTCTCTGAACTGGTTTATGAAATATAGCAACACAGAAGATAATTTCCTATTTGCTGTATTTAATGTTTCTTCATTTACACTGTAACTGCTTATAATTACATTGTAGAAATTTTAAGTATTGTTATCTTTCAAAATGCTAGTGGTTTCAACTTTTTTTTTCTCCTTTTTAACATGGGTTATTCATTTTATTGCAGGATTTGGTTGTTCGTATTGTCTTCATTCTTGGTAATTTAACAGCAAAGAATAACCAGGCCCGTGAGCAATTTTTTAAAGAGAAAGGGTGTGTTAGCATCCTGACATCATTATTCCAAATCTACGGTGAATTTGATATGAATGAAAAAAAAAGGAAGCATGAAGCAGGAGAAGAAAAGAAAACCCAAAAGCATCCTTCGGAAGCAGAAGATGTCCTTATAAAACTGATAAGAGTGCTTGCTAATCTCTCCATTCATCCCAGTATAGGAGCAGCTCTGGCAGCTAATCACTACATCGTGGCACTACTCGTTATGGTACTAGGTAAAGTCTGCATTTCCTTTTCTTGTATTTTGTTTGTCCAGATTGAAAGGCAGGAATACTACTTGACCTTCACATAAGGCAGAACCTGAATGAAATCTGCTTTGCTGGTGATATGGCTAGGTCAATTAGCTAATGTTAATAATTGCAGTATATGAAATATCTTATTTTAAACAACAGCAACATTATCGCATTCATACTGAATTTCAGTGCCTAATAGGAAGAAGCCTGTAAAGGTGCCCCATGAATCATATCATAAACCATGAAGCAAACTGCTCAAGTAAATTGGAGGAATCAGGGGTCTCGTTATATGCGTGTCTCACTACAAAAGGTCACATAATAAGACTTCCTTATTACCACATACTGTATATACTGCTTATTGCTGTTGAGACAAAAAAAGTTTATAGTTAAGTTTGTCACAGATTTACCATAAATTATTTAATCATTTCAGAATTTGGAAACTTTTAATCCTTTGGGGGTATTCCATGTGCACATAAGGATAGCCTTTGAAGTGTCCAGACTTCCAAAGTATGTCACAGACTTGTTTCTATGTGGCTTCTGCCTTCATAAAGCATATGGCATGTGCAAAATTAACATTATAAATCAGTAGATTTTACACATTGTTACCCAACTCAACAGGAAATTATGTGCATGAAGAGTTGGAAGAAAGGGACTCGTATTGGCATTCCTGGGTCACCTCCATCTTATTGAAAAGTGGATAGTTTCTACATTGGCAATACAATGGTTGAATGTCTGAAACTGTAAACTGTTCTCATTCTACTTTTATACTTAAAAACAGGAACAACTTTAATGTGTCAGAAGTGCTAGCATTTAGAGTTTTAAAAAAACCACTTTCCTTATACCAGGATTCTGGTATGCTACAGCTGCAGTACAAATGTTGTTGTATCGGACAGGACAAGACTGCCAAGTGTCCTTCAAACTGCATGTAACCCATTAAATTTTTCCATACCACTCAACAAATGTAAGCTTCAGACTGTATGGCCACATCCAGAAGAGCATGGCTGTGTTGTATGTGGCGCCCCAGAAACATCTCTGGTGCAACATACTGCACTTTCAGCTGTTCTCCACACTGCAAGGGAACAGCACTGGGGTCGGGGGAGAAGGGGGGTTGACCCTGGGGTCAAAAAAACCCATGGAAAAAAGAAGACCAGCACACGTGGCAGCAGTGCACTGTGCTTGAAACCAGAGCCTAGCTGGGTGGAACCACATTCCAGCTGCCAGCCAGGCTCTGAGCGGCAGGAACACTGCTACTGCAGCTCCAGGAGGCCCCCAGAACCCCAGGTGTGGATGCAGCCTATGGGTGCATCTACATGTAAAATTAATGCAAGCCAATAAAGTCTGGAGTAGTTCCTGCTGGAGTTAACTGCTTCCAGGCACAGTGTCTGTATATGTGCCTGAGAGCAGCACTTCGAGCTCAGGCAGAGCACCCAGGCTGGCAGCAGGTTCAAGGGTCAGCCCCAGGTTCCAGGTGGTGGTGTTGGGTGGTAGAGGGGTTGGCTGGGGCATGAGTGCCAAACGTGTGGAGCCACGTGGCCAGGCATCAGGCAAGAGTCTGGCGTCCTGCTGCCTAGGCTGACCAGGTGCAATTTACGTTCAGGTCAGCATTTATATGTGTGTTTCACTGCAGTTAATAACTCCACTGTAAGATAGTACTGTCCCCAACAGTACTATCTTACAATGGAGGTAATTATTTTACCGCACCGTAATATCTGCGCACATGTAGACAGAGACACTTTACTGTGGAGGTAATTCGTCAGCTAAAAGTGCAGTAACGCATGTGTGTAGATGCACCGTGTGGGCACGTCCAGATAGGCACACCCATACAGGTTGCAGTGCCTCATAGTTGGTTGAGGCACTGCAAACCACACGTGGTGCAGGTGCACCCCATTTGCCATGCTGCTAATTTGCAGCATGGTGCTAAAATTTGACACTGAGAGATCCCAGTGTTAAAAAAAAAAAAAAAAAAAAAAAAAAAA